CAGGCAAGGCGCTGGATTCAGCAACCCGAGGGGGAGCCGCCAGTGGGTATTTCACGGGTTCGTTCGCGCCCAGATTGTGGGGATGCCTTAGGCGGTTTGCATGTTTCGGCCATCCAGGCGTGTAGACCTCACTCACTCAATCACCTGCTCACTCGCTCACCTCCTCCTCCTCCTCCTCGCACAGAGCTCCCCCATCAGCACCATTTCCTCACCCAGCCTCACTAATCACCCTCAGACTCAACCATTTTTAGACCCACTCATACCCAGGTTCACTCACACGTAGGACTTGCTCACATTCAGACTCGCTCACACTCGGGCCCATTTATTTTTATTCCTTCTTAGAATCGGAGGTTGGGGGGTGAGATCGCAGTGTAACGGGGTCCCCCCACCGGGACATCGAGTTTCGAGTTCGTGCTCGTGCCGTGCGTGCGGGCGAGGCGAAGCTGCGTGGGCCAGCGAGAGGAATTCACTCTGCTGTCGCTAGGGGCCCGCCAACACAAATGTTTTCCCCCCCGGCCTTGTCAAGCGGTAGCCCACGTTGTCCCGTCGGTTGCCCGTCGGTTGCCCGTCGGTAGCCCACGTTGTCCCGTCGGTTGCCCGTCGGTTGCCCGCCGCCGGCGCAGCGGCAAACCGAACGACACAAGTCGCCCAAGCGAAGGAACAACAAAAAATCCACCACGTCATCCACACCATCATCGCCCATCAGCACCACGTTCATCACAGTTGTCGTCATGAGCCACCCCCCTCCCCCCACCCCCCCACAACCTCCTTATCACCCGCAGGGTGGTCGTATAGGTATACTCTTACTCCCCCGTCTGGCCGGCCGATAGCGGTTCCACCGGGGCCCTCCCATCCTAATTATAAAAAATCAATACGTAGTCGTCGTTTTTCTCTCAACATTGCCTCTCTTGTCGTCGACGATGCGAAATGCGTAGCAGGAAGAAGACGCGGCACACATCGCTCGCGGCCGTCAATCCGGGCTCCCATCTTAATTGTAAATAATCAATACAAAGTTGTCGTTTTTCTCTCAACATGACCTTTCTTGTCGTCGACGGTGCGAATTGCGTAGCAGGAGTTGGACGCGGCGTACATCGCGCGCGGCCGTCAATCCGGGCTCTCCCATCCTAATTATAAACAAAACAATCAATGCAACATCGTTGTTTTTTCTCAGCATGGTTTGTCTTGTCGTCGACGATGCGAAATGCATGGCAGGAGCAGGACGCGGCGAACATTGGGCGCGGACGTCCGGGGCAACCCCAAGCGGAAGGGGCCATCCTACCAGTCACAAAACAATGCAAAGTCGACCTGTCTTTTCTCAACGTGGATTTTCTTGTCGTCGGCGTTGCGAAACGCGTGGCAAGAATGGGGCGCGGCGCAGTCTCGCGACAGGACGAAGTGTCGCTGTCGCTTTGGCGCCGCGCGCATGGTTTCTGAAAGTTGCGCTCCCGCACAGGCGCAGCGAACATGTTTCGCTCGCCAATTCGTCTGGCGCCCGGGGCCTCCCAGGGCCTCGTGGATTCTCTCGGGGCCTCCTGAGGCTTCCTGGGGCCTCCAGCTCGCCAGTTCGCCACAGGACGAAATGTCGCTCTCGCCTTGGCGCCGCGCGCATGGTTTCTGAAAGTCGCGCTCCCGCACAGGCGCAGCGCACATGTTTCGTTCGCCACTTCGTCGGGCGCCCGGTGGGTCCCAGGGCCTCCTGGAACATCCCGGGGCATGATAGTGCCTCCTGGGAACAGCCCAGAGCATCGTGGATTCTCCTGGGGCCTCCTGAGGTTTCCTGGGGCCTCCAGCTCGCCAGTTCGTCGAGCGCCGAGGGCCCCTTGGGACTTCCCAGGGTCACCTGCAACATCCCGGGGCCTCCCCAGGGCCTCGTGGATCCTCTAGGGGCCTCTTGAGGCCTCATGGTTCTTCCTAGTATTCCCCGGGTTTCCCTGACACCTCCTAGGGCTTCCTGGAGCCTCATGGGACCTCCTAGGGCCTCTTTGGGTTCGTTGGGGTTTCTACAACCTTCTGGGGCCTCCTGAGGCCTCCTCAGGCTTCCTGGGGCCTCCTGGGGTATCCTCGGCTCGTGCTAAAATGCCAGCGCAGCCTTTGAGACGCGCCAGGAGTTTCCCATCAGTAACCGCCATCGCGGCTGCATCAGCTGTGCCAAACCACCTTGCAGATCTGTTTTCGGCCCCCAGTTGCGTCAGCACTGTTCCTAATGTTGTGGGAGGGCAGATGGGAATGGGCATGGCGTGCTTGACTTGCTCGAGCTGGCTTACTTGAAACTTATATTAACTCTCGCGCAGACGTACTCACACTCAGAGTCACTCATACACAAACTCACTCGTATCCGGACTCACTCATACTAAGACTTGTATCTATCATAACCGTGCTCAGACTCACTCACACCCGGATTTACACACACTCAGACTCACACACATTCTGTCTCACCCACCTTCATACTCATTCATTACCAGACTCACTCGTACCCTGGCTCACTCGAACTCTGAACCATACTCGTCGAACTGAGATTCAGACCAGACTCCCTCATACTCAGACTGACGCATACTCAGACCAACTCGTGCTCATACCCTCTCAGACTTGTACTCACCCACACTCAAGCTCAATCAGTCTGGGGCTCACTCACACTCAGATCACTCGCACTCAGATTCACAGTCTGTCGTTTTGGTTGTTCAATGCTCCCTCGCTCTCACACTGTTGCTTCCCCCATCTCTCTTGGAAAATGCCCAGAGGAGGAGGATGACGTCACTGAAGTCGTCGCTGACGTCGTCGTCGCGCCCGTCGTCTGCGCGGACTCGTTCTCACACCCAGATGCTCACAGACAGAGTTCCTCAGCGAGACGTAACAGGAGTACGGTATGCACATGTGGGGATCTCCGCGTCGAGTAACTCTTTGGCCCAGCTGCCGACACTTCGTATGTCGCCGCCTGGCCTCGCCGCAGTGCCTCTCAATGCTTTCCTGCCAAATCCGACCGTCGTCCGTACAGGAGACCGATCGGCCATCTGCGAGCACAGCCGGCTGGGGTCTGCATTGATTTTACAAACGGTGCTCCATGATCCGCTGCACGATCAGCGACTGTCGGACGACTCCCCGATGAAGTATCGTATTCTTGCGCTCCCGCGGGATCGAACAGGGTTGCATTTTTTCGTTCTCCTCAGTGCCTCGTCCCTCTTCCTCTTCCTCCTCCTGCCCTGGTACTTTCCGGGCAACCGCGTCACCACGACCAACAAGGACGAGCTACCTGACAGAGGGATGCAGTGAAGGAACAAGTGCAAACAGCAAGCCCCCAGACGAAGACGCAGAGTATGCGGACACAAGTCGCAAGACCACACCACTGCGGTTATCAGTGGAGCTCTCCAGGGCACTTGTTATTGACACAGAGTCATGTCTCCTCCTGTTCTTTCTGCCTTTTCCGTTCCTCTTCCTTTTCTACGCCATCGCAGTGGGATCGTCGGACGTCCCGTCGAAGTTCCTCACGGCGCGGCTCGCTGGCCTTTGAATCTCCAGCCACTTGGGTGAATCCAGCCGTAGCCGCCTTTAAACCAGCGCCACCAATGCCGGTCCGTGCAACTACCGTCATCACATCTACAGGTGCGTCTCGCACGAAATTATAACAGCGGTTGATGCGCAAGTTTGAGAGTCAACCCGCAAGGCCCGTGTTGGGCCTGCTTGCGCACAATCAGAACAGCAATGATGGTGCACCACGCCAAGTTCCAGGTTATTGTTTGGAGCCACGATGCAGCGTGGTAGAGCATGACTTCACACACGCGTGTCTGGAAGGGTAAATGGCACGGTGGACCATGAAAGAGGCTAGCTTTTTTCTGCGAGGAGATTGAGGAGATGAATTATGGGGGGGAGAAGACGTAGGGCATGGCGGCGCGGAGGGGGGGAAGAGAGGGTGCGAGGCGGGAAGGGGGGAGGGAGTGAGTGCGTGCGTGCGTGCGCGTGTGTGTGTGTGTGTGATTATGTGCTTATGTGTGAAGTGGAAAGGGATACAAGGCTGCAAGGGGGCTGACAGGAGGAAAAGGGCAGACAAGTTAGATCATGGGAAATGGCGAGGGCGGAGGAAAGGGGGGAGAGGAAGGGAGTGAATGATAGCACCGATGGAACGGACAACCTCCATGCAGCGGAGAGGATCAAAGGAGATAGAGAAAGAGAGGGCATGATGCTAATGTTGGAGTTTGTGACATGGACGAAGACGAACAAGAGATAATGCGGAACGGATGCGACGAAGGGATTGATCAACAGGAGGGGTAGAAAGGACTTCACAGACGTGACAGTATGAGAAGAGAGATGGCAGGGACTAATGGAATGGATGCGGATTTTGGACAGTGGCGGCAGGACGGACGCGGAGAGAAGAGAGGACATGGTTGGAAGAGATGGATGGGGACGGCCGGGGGACGGACGGAGGGCCTGCTGTGTCGAGAGCAGGGGGGTGGAGGGGCGGGGCAGGAGGGAACGGAGAGAGTTGATGGCCAGGGGGAGCGGGAGACAACGAGGAGGAAGAGGGACAAGGAGTGGACAAGGATGAGGGGACATATCAGGGGTCATTCCGATTCCGCCGGTTCGATTCGAATCGATTTCCGTAATTCCGATTTCGAACCGACTCGATTCCAGGATTCCGATTCGCGATTCCGATTTCGAGTTCGCCCGATCCGGCTTCTGCCGATTCGATGCGTCAGCCGATTCCTGCTGGCTTTTGGCCGATCCGGCTTGATTCCTGCCGGCTTTTGCCAGCTTTTCGCTCCATTCCATATGATATGGAATGGAGCGAAAAGGAACAGGAGTGACGGTAGGGAAAAGAGGCGAAGTTGGGGCAGGAGGGACAGAGAGGCAGCAGGTGAGGGGCGGTGTGATGGACGGGAGGGAAGAAGCACTAAAGCAAAGATTGCAGAAGGGGGGAAACGGGAAGCGAGGGAGGGAGCCAGCGAGCGAGCCAGCGAGGGAGGGAGACGGGAGGGAGGGGAGCCCTGGGTTCCCCCCGCCCTCCAGAGGCTGTGGCTGTTCAGCAAGCCCTGGGTCGGCGGCCTCCTCCTGACGGCCCTGCTGGTGCTGCCGCTGGCGTCGCCCATCGACGCCGTGAGGCGGCCCCGTGGCAGGGACTGGGCGGTGATGCGGGTGGTCCAGCGTGCGAGGAGGAGGAGGAGGAGGAGGAGGAGGTGTCTGATAGGGGTCTGATAGTACCACCCCGCCCAAAAATGGGTGTTCGTCCAGGCGAGCGTCCGCGCACCATTTCCCAGGGCGGTGTCGTTCGCCTTGTCAGCGCCCGTCCCGCGCCGAGCTCCAAGCCCAGCCCGCGCCCCCCCCCCTTGGCATCGCTCGGACGTGTGCATTTTTCCTTCGGCGAGGACCATCGAGGAGCATCCTTGATCATTTGGCGAACAAAACCACGCACGAAACCAACAAAAACACAGGGAATGGACGTCCGAGCGATGGCGAGCCCCCCCCTCCCGTGACAGGGACCGCTCTGGCCCAGGGTGCGCCCGGGGCCGACGGAGAGGCGAGGCGCGGGCGGCCGCCGAGCAGCCGCGGCCCGGGCCCGGAAGCAGCCCCCCGAGGCCGGCAGCGGCTTGCCTATCTATAGAGGCGGCGTGCGCTCGCCGGGCAGGGGGCGCTCCTGCTCCACACCCGAGGTGGAAGGAGTATCAATCTGCACGAACGAGATGGGCACGGAAAGAATTGGGTACGATGCCCAGCAGCAGTTCTTGTTCACTCTGAATCGGACTCGCTGTCCGCGCCGCCGCGGCCTGTGTCCATTTGAGGCAGAAGGCCACCTGCCCAACAGCGGCCGCTGTTGGTTTGGGACAACATTTGCTGTTGGGCATTGTACCCATTCTTTCAGTGCCTATTTCGGGCGTCCAAAATCAAGCAGTGGCGAAGCGTCCCGGCTCGCCTATAGCCCCACCAAACAAAATATCTAAGAACCTCTTGTGGTTCCCACGAGATGTTCTCAGAACGTGTCTGGCTGGGACCGTCTTGTTTTAACACATCGGGTTTGTGTTCTAAGAGCATTGTGTTTGTTCTTAGAACATGTTTGAGTTCTAAGAGCATTTCGTGGTATGACTAGAGGAATGCCGGGGCGGTCGGTCCCTGCTCAAGAGTAGGCGTGGACGGGTGGAGCGCAGGGATCCGGTGCCGACCCATGCGAGTGTGATGCTGACACGCCAGAGATGAGCTGTTGTTTTCTATCTTCTGGCGCGTGACGGTCGTCATGCGGGCCAGACTACTCCCCCCCCACCCGGGGACCGTAACGATCGCACGTGTGGGGTAGGCGGGCTGCACCCCCCCGCGTGTTGGCGTTTGCGCTCGTGCGGTGCCGATTGCAGCGCACCCCCGCCTCGACGAACCCGCACCCCGCCCAAGCGTCACCTCCTCCTGGGGCCCAGACCCCTTCCCCTCTTCTTGGCATCGCTCGGACGTTTGCATTTTTTCTCGGCGGGGACCATCGAGGTCCATCCTGGACCATCGAGCAAAAAAAAGCACACACACGAAACCGAAACATGCACGGGAAATGGACGTCCGAGCGATACCGAGCTTTCCCCCAGGCAACGACCGGCACAGAGCAGGAAGGCACAGCACGCTCCCTTGCGTTTTGCTCCGATGCCGCACGGGCGGAGCCTTCCGCACACCGCGTTCGGCACCGTCGCCAGCTGCTGCGGGGGAGGTTGGCCCGCGCGTGCGGCGGCGGCGGGCGCGGCTGCGCCTGCCGGCGCCTCCTCGGCCACGCGCCCTCGGGCGCTGTGCAAGGAGTTCGGGGCGGTGTGTCAATGGGGGGGTGGTGGAATAAGGTGCACCTTCTTGTGCACCTCAGATGCCCTGGCGGGGCTCCCTGGGGCCCAAAAGGGGGGCACACACGATGCACGCCTCTTCCCCTCCCATCCATCGCCCCCCCATGACGTAAGCGGCGCCCAAAGTTCTGCGGTTGCGAGCCCCGCTCTGAGGCGATGGCGCCCCCGAGTCTCACACGACAGCGCTTTCAGTCCAATGCCCAGGGCCCCCGCCCGTGATGCCCCCTCGCATCCCCGCCAGTCCGAAGTTTAGTTATTATTTTTTTCACATGAGCCACCGGGTCCAATATTTTCTGGTACAGGGCCTTCTGTTTCGTTTATACACGCTTTTGGCGGCTCGCTCGCGCGCGACATCTCGCATCACCAAAGCTCAGATTGACGGACGATCGAGTCTTCAGGCTTACGCCACATCCGCAGAATTTGTTTCTGTTTCGGGTCACGGGGCCCTGGGGCGGTAGGCCTGGTATTAAACGGAGCGATGCCGATGGGAGTCATACATCAACCGACCGTTTTTTGTGATATTGGGTTTACGGGCGTCTCTGGCTTCTCAAATGCGCAACGTTCGACCTCATGCACGGTAGATTACAGGGTAGGGCAAGTTGTGGCCGACGAGAGCTTCGAGAGAGTCGGCGGATTTGGGACCAGAGATTGACCGTACCGAATCCCACATTGCAGAGTGAATAATTCTCCGCTGACCCATCTGTGCTTGCATTCGCAAGGTTCGATCACCAAACGCTGCAGTCTCGGTGAGTTTTTGTTCGGGGGGGCCGAGGATGTCCGAGGACCCGGACAGAGAAAGCGCGCCGAAGATTTTTCGCAATTGTCGTAGATTGGAGGAGGAGGAGGAAGAAGAGTAAGAGGAGGAGGAGGAGGAGGAGGAGGAGGAGGAGGAAGAGGAGGATCGAGCCAGACGAATGCAGGGGTAGAGACACAGGGGTCTTGAATTGCGCCGCAGCGATTGCACCACATAGGTAGCTCCACCCACATTGCAAGTATATTGCACAACATGGCTTTGCAATTCATAGATTGCGCAACATAGGTTACACCACATCTATTACAGTACGTAGCCTGGTCCAGATATGTTGTGTAAGTTTTATTGGTAGAAACACGTTTTGGGGGTCAGCGTTGACCATCTGTTGTGAGATTGAAGGTCCTGTGTCTTGTTGGACAAGTCTTTCACGATCTTCGTGGGGGGCGCGTCCGCTTTTCGTAAGTCCGCGGATGTCCCTGGCCAGACGGCCAACACATCAAACATGTCGGACGCACCAATCCCTTTTGAGCCGTACTCTTTCGGAGATGTGCGTATGTTAATGCTTATCTGTTTACACACGTATGTGTGTACGTGCGTATATACGTGTATATGCTGGCTGTCGGCCCACCCCGCCTCCGTGACCTTGTTCTGAGCCAGAGGATTTTCGGAGACTGCTCGGGATTTCGTCGGCTGGCGTCTGGGTCAGAGGGTTCCAGTGGTACCGCAGTGTCCCCCACTGAGGCACATCGATACTATCAGGCGTGGATCCTTGGGACCAAGGCTGTGGGCCAGGAGCGATATGCGTCTCGTGGTACCCCGATGGTGCCATTTGAGGGGTATCGAAAAAAGGGAGAAGATGAAGAAGAGGGTGCAGAATGGGAGGAGGGCGGGTAGGAGGAGGAGGAGGAGGAGGAGGAGGAGGAAAACAAGGAGGATTGAGGAGTGTCAACAGTGTCAACCCATTAGCGGAGCGCGCTCCGCTAATGGGAGCAATGCAACGGGATTTGTTGGTTTGAGGCAAATGTGCGGAACGCCGCCCCGCTAACGAAGGCGAGGCGATCCGAATTCTTTGGCTCGAGGCCACTTAGCGGAGCACCGCTCCGCCAATGGGGGACAGGCGCTCTAAATCCTTCTGCTTCGAGGCCAATTTGCGGAGCGCTGCTTCGCAAGAGTGGCCACGACAAAACTAGGAAGCCGGCAGATCCGAGCCTCCAAATGATCCCCAGGATTGAGGATCGAGGGATTGAGCAGGGGACCTGAGGACGCGCACACTCCGTGCCCACGGGCACGGTGGTGGATAATGATAATAATGATGCGAAGTATGCGTGTTTATTCTTGTTAGTATGTTTTTATTGTTGTATTTCTTCTTCTTCTTATTATTATTATTCTTATTATCATCATTCGTATTATTAGTATTATTATGAATATGATGAGATATACAGAGAGAGAGAGCGCGAGAGAAAGAGAGAGATACGAGTGTGTGCGTGTGTGCCCCCTCGACGGCCTCACGAAGCATCTTCTCCAGATCTCCTCGATGACGCAGCGCGGTGGAACCCCCCATGGGACGCGAGCTCAGTACCGCCTGGCACGAAGGCCACGTGAGGCGACCGATCTGCGATCGACAAGAGTGGACTGGCAGCCCCGCCCGCACTTCCCCAGCCCCGGTCTCCTATTGTTTATCCTCCTCCGCCTCCAGCCCGAGCTCCCCGCCCCTTGGGCCTGTAGCACGTCGTGGGTTTCGCAATCGGCCGAACCCCGCAATTGTAGCCTCAAAGGCTTGCCCAAACGCCATCCAGCGTCATCCAAGACCGCCAAATCAATGTTCTGAATTGCCCCCTCGCCCGTGCGCGAGGTGGGCCTCGATCTGCACCTTGGGCCTCACAGTCACAGGCATTGCCTTGCCCCTGCTGGGGCAGAGCGCGGCCGCGGCGGCGCTGCCGCTGCTCCTCGGCGTAGGCGAGCGGGATGCGCGTGGGTGAGCTGTCTTCTTTGCGTGGTCTCGCCCATCTGACGTACACCCGCGTGCTCAAGTGCCCACTCGCTCTCTCGCTCATCCACGAGCCCACCCGTCCTTTCGCTCGATGGCGTCCTTAAGTTACTCGACAGGCCACTCACTGACCCGTTCACCTGGTCGCTCGCTCACTCACGCCTGTACTCACATTCCAATTCCCATTCAGACGCACTCACTCAGCCATTCAGTAGGTCACTCATGCATTCGCCCCTTCTTGTACGCATGCCTGCATCCATGCTCTCATTCCGATGCGTGCACGCCTGCCGCCTCTGCACGCATCCGTGCACGCGTTCGCGGGGGCACCGTGGTATTCATGCACGGGTGCACTATTGCACGCAGCCATCTCGCTTGCACCCGCTTGTTCAGGGCAATCCCGTTCCAGCGCGCCTCGTCCTGTCCCACTGCATCGAAGTCTGATCCCTACAGTCGGGGCCCTGAAGAAGGAACCCTCTTCGTTGGGGAGGGGCTCGGTGTTCCTTGATTGTTCTGCATTTTGCCGCTTTTCCTGGGGTTTCCCATGGGAAATGGAAGTTCCACTTATGGGAGGAAAGGGGCCTCGTGCCTTATTTTAGGGTTCCTTGAGCCAACGCCCCGACTGTACCACTCCGCTCGATCCAGATCAACTTGAGCGCCAGCCACGCTCAATGTTTTTCTGGCCCCTCGGCTCTGGGGCAGCCATCTTGCTTGCACCCGCTTGCTCAGGGCAAATCCGTTCCAGCGCGCCTCGTCCTGTCCCACTGCATCGAAGTCTGACCCCTACCACCCTTCGTTCGATCCAGACCAACTTGAGCGCCAGCCACGCTCCATGTTTTTCTGGCCCCCTCGGCTCTGTGGCCGCCTCTGCTTGTCCCGTTCCCCCGCGCGCCTCGTCCTATCCCAGCGCGCCTCGTCCTATCCCACTGCATCGAATCCTACCACTCCGTTCGATCCAGATCAACTTGAGCGCCAGCCACGCTCAATGTTTTTTTCTGGCCCCCTCGGCTCTGGGGCCGCCTCCGCCTGTCCCGTTGCCCCCTCTTCCCTCGCTGCACGGCGCACGCGCTCTCCGCTTACCAGTTTGAAGCATATCCTTATCCCTATGTTTGACATCACCTCACCTCGATGCCGATCTCAAGGATTCCCTCAGTTTCTGAGGGCCTATCCCTAAGATTGTCCTCGCTTTTTGCTCGCCCATCTTAGGGATAGGGATACGTTCGAGGCTGGTTATCCGCGGCAGGTCTGGCGGCCGCGCTCGTCGGCTACGCGGTGCTGGTCTCGGGCATCTGGCGGAGACCCCCCGCCCCCCCTTGCTCTGCCTCGTGCTCCGCCCCTCCCCCTCGCCCCTCCTCCTCGAGACCCCCCCCCACCATCCCCCTCCTGCCTTGCACCCAGCCATCTCTCAGAGCCCCGAATCATCAGGGGTAACTCGGGTCAGGGCTAACTCGGGTTCCTTATTCGGGAATCCGAACCCGAGTTACCCCGGACCCGAGTTACCCCAGATAACTCGGGCGTCCAGAGCCCCACATCATCAGGGGTAACTCGGGTCAGGGCTAACTCGGTTCCTTTTTCGGGAATCCAAACCCGAGTTACCCCGGATAACTCGGGCGCCCAAATCTCTCCCGCTCCAGTCCTCCCCGCCGTGGAGCCTCCAGCTGCCATCCTGGATCCCCCCCTTCCCCCCAAGCCCCCCGTCCCTTTCTTTCCCCTCGCATCCAGGGCCTCGCCCGCGAGCGGGGAGGGGGGGGGCCGTCGGCAGGCCGTGCTGGAGCATCGCCCGCCGATCAGCTGCTCTGCACCGCCTGATCCCATCCGCCGTGGGCCTCTCCCTCGCCCTCCCCATGCGCCCGCGTCCCCGCCGAGTCCCCTCTCCGCCTTCCTGGCAGCTGCCGTCGTAGATCTCGCTCGTCCTTGCGCGTGCCATCGTTGCCGTTCGTGGGGCCGATCTTCACCAATACGGCTCGCCCAGGCATGCTCGGCCCCTCCTCCTCGAGCGGTCTGGATCTTCGAGGCTCGAGGACGGATGTATTAGGGGGAAATGTCTTGGCATCGCTCGGACGTGTGCGTTTTTTCCTCGGCGAGGACCATCGAGGAGCATCCTTGACCATTTGGCGAACAAAAACACGCACGAAACCGAAAACAACACAGGGAATGGACGTCCAAGCGATGGCGAGATGTTGGCCTCGGCAACCCGAAGCCGCAGAGACCGACATCGCTTTGGGACGATTCGATGATTGGAGCCACCAAGCGCGAAATGACAACGTCATCATGTCCGTAGCCATTTTGGCTCAAGCCGCTTTGGTTCAAGAAGCATTTAGCTTGACATACCTTTGGACATTCAGTGTTTGGTATTACTTTCGACCATGGCCTTTGTCCCAGCTCTCATTCCCCTCGGAGTTGGCCTGGCGAAAATTGCCTCACGTGATGGTAGTGCCCACGAAGTGATGCCTTTCAAGGACCGTGGACGCGGAATTATCGACAAGATGACAAGGGGCGGCGCCAACGCACCAATCACCCAGTGGAGCGAAGCCAAGTTGGAGAAGGCAATCATGCGTAACAGTATGTTCCGCGACCACGCGAATGAGCTGCGACTAGCGCGAGTTAATGGCTTGCGTGCTTTGGCGAGCACTGGGATTGCTGGAGGACCAGCGAAGAGCCTCGTTGAGCCAATTGGAGACGGTGCGGAAATTCCGGACACGTTGTGCGATGCAGATTTGTTGTTTCTCGCGGCCGAGGCCAAGAGCAATGCGAATCCTGCTCGAGATGCGGCTTTGGAGCTTCTGGCGGACAACAGCTTCGACGCGCTTCTGATCACAGACCCGGAGGGCACCATTGTCTATTCCAACAAGGCTTTCACGAAGCTCACGGGATATGAGCAAGTCGAGGCCATCGGCAAAACACCCAAAATGTTGCAGGGCCCCGGCACTGACAAGACGGTCTTGGCCAGGCTCAAAGAGTCTATGCACAAGGGGAACGGGGATTACGAGGGCAGCGCCATCAACTACCGGAAGAACGGGACGCCCTTTATCATGCATTGGCGCGTAGTGCCCGTGAAGGTCGCCGGCGAGATCAAGGCTTGGGTGGCAATTCAGCGCGAAGGCTCTCACATTCCCAGTGAAGACTTGTCGTGAATACCGAACAGATGGCCCATAAGCTGGTTGTGGGCCATATCCAGCGTGGGACTCCTGGATATCTGACATGCGATCAGCACAGGCGTCTATGGATGCTATGTGCCTGTTGCGTACGCGTGATCGGCATGAGCGCTCGTTGATGTCCTGTCTGTGACGCGTGATCGGTACTGGCGATCATCGATGTTCCTTCTGTCTGTGACGTGTGATCGGCACTGGCCGTCATCGATGTTCTGTCTGCGGCGTGTGATCGGCACAAGCGGTCACTAATATTCTATCTGTGCAGTTTTGTTCATCCTCGCCAGCGCTCGGCAGCGTTTCTGCCACCCAGCGCCTCGAGAGCCTGGTCGGCGGTTCTGGGAGCCTGGAGGGCCCAGAGGGAGCGTTGAGGAGCCCATGCCCTCCCCCCATCACCTCCTCAACCGGGAATGTGGACGATCATGAACGAGCAGCGTGGGGAGGGACCTCGGTTCAGATGTTCAGGGCAAAAGGGTCTTTACCACCAGTGCTCGTGCTCTTCGTGTGCACTGGAGTGTCCAGGCAGCTTGTGGATGCCCCTTCGCACGCGGCCTGCATTGTTTGGGTGAACATTCGGGCGCTTGGGGCGGCAGACTTGGAGGCTGTCGGCCCAGGAGTTTTCATTAAGGGGGCAGGCCTGGAGGGTGCAGGCCAACCGCATGAACGCCTGACTTCCGACCCGCTTTCCCCCCATCCGCACGATCAACGTGCACATTTTTCACAGCATGTCCGACCGCACGGTGCAGAGTTGTGCTAGCCGCAGATACAGAAGCGGCCCGTGCTGCTACGAAGAGTCCAACGTAATGGCAGCTTCGCTGGATGCTCCACGCATGCCTTCCACAGTTTAAAAAGTGGTGTGACCCTGCGAAGGATACCAACGCATGCGGTCAGCTCGACGACGACGTTGTGCATGTTGGCTTGCTTTCCTCAGAAGGGGCAATGGATGTTTACATTATTTGTTCTCCTCTGCTCCTCTCCCCCTTCCTGCTTCACTACAGACACAGTGTGACGAATTTTGGTTCTGCCGCGCGGAAGTGCACTCCACAGCGCTTGCCCTCTCCCAGAGGACCGCCCCACAGCGCGCAGTGACGCGAGCCGCATTGGCACTCGCATTCGCATGTTGCCGCCCCTCTGAGACCTCCGTGACCTCTGGCGCTCGGCGCTGGGGGAGCTGGAGACACGGTGCCCCGTCCCCGTGCGACAATCGGCCCGAGGAGATGAAGAAAGGTGCACGCGTGTTCCAATCGATCGATCAGGGGACCACATGCGAACCCTACCCCTACCCCCCACGATTTCTGAGGGGTCAGGGTGGGGTTCACTTCGCTCTGGAGCTCCCGAACGAAGTGAGCCCCACCCTCCCCTTCAGAAATCGTGGGGGGTAGGGGTAGGGTCCGCATGTGGTCCCCTGATCGATCAGCCGGCCGATCGTGCAGAGCACAGTCGGAGGCGAGCAGCGCAAGGCTGCGTGTTGCGTGCGCCCGTTCGCCGGCAGCTAGGTGGAACCACCTGCTGGGCGGCTCGAGGCATTGGGCGCAGTTCAGCTCCAAGCTGACCACGCAGCTCATGGACCAGGTGGCTCAGTTTTCGGATCTGCCAACGTTTGTTGTTGAGAGCTGCGGGTGCGAGTGAGTGAAGAGCTTGTAGGCTGTGTCCCGCACATGATAGCGATGCTTGTGGTGTTGACAGGGACGTGTCTTCCATCACTTGCCCGCTCCCTCACTCGGCTCCTTCTTTCTCTGAGCAGCTCTCTGTACGTGTATGCGGTACGTATGTGCGTGTGTGTGTGCGTATGTGCGCGCGTGTGTGTGCGTGCGTGCGTGCGTGCGTGCGTGCGTGCGTGTGTGTGTGTGTGTGTGTGAGTGTGTGCGTGCGTGCGTGCGTGCGTGCGTGCGTGCGTGCGTGCGTGCGTGCGTGCGTGCGTTCGTGTGTGTGTGTGTGTCTGTGTGTGAGTGTGCGTGCGTGCGTGAGTGAGTGCGTGCGTGCGTGCGTGCGTGCGTACGTGCGTGCGTGCGTGCATGTGTGTGTGTGTGCGTGGGGGGTGCGCGTGTATGTGCGTGTGTGTATGTGTGTATGTGTGTGTACCGCCCTGTCTCCCTGTCGGCTGCGCAGCGGCCAGCGACGTGGCATCGCTGCATCACAAGAGGACCACATGTGCGTGTGTGAATGTGCGGGTGCGAGTGGGCGGCCTGCACCGCGTTGGACTGTGCCAGTCGCCGCTCGCCAAAAAAGTGTGTTTGTGCGCGAGCGCGCGTGTGTGTGTGTGTGTGTGTTTGTGCGCGAGCGCGCGTGTGTGTGTGTGTGTGTGTGTGTGTGTGTGTGTGTGCGTGTCTTTGTGCTTGTGCTCGTGTGTCGTGTAATGCCCTGTCTCGCCTCCTTCGCCGCCCTCCCGCCGTCCCACCCTGTCGGCGTCGTGTGCGCACCGCCTGCCTGGCTACTGCCGGTGGCCGTCGCACCGGCCCGCCACGCTCTTTGCCGCGTGCCCTGCCGCGCCGCCGCTCGCACGGCTCCGGAGCTGTCCGCCGCCCTCCGCCCCGGCGGCACCTCGGCCGCCGTCGCCCCGCCCTCCGCTGGCGAGCCCTCCAGGGGCTTGTGCCGCTCAGCCACGGGATGAGCCGTGCCGCCCTGCCTGCCCTCGCACCGCCCGGCGTGGCTCCCCCCCGCCCCCACGGGCCGGGCCCGCTGCCGCTCGCCGGTCGCGATGGCCCGTGGGGCGTGCCCCCCTCGCGACGGCCACCGCTCTTGCTCCGAGCCGTCGGCCTGCTGGCCGCGGCGGCGCTGCCGACGGACGCCTGTGCGGCTGCGTGCCATGCCGCCGAGCCTCCTCCGTCGCCTGTGCCGCTGTGGCTCTGCCGCTGCGCGCGCTGGTCTTTCTGCACCGCCCGGCTGTGCGGCCGCGGATGCGCCTACTTTCGGGCCTGACGAAAGTTGGGGATTGGGAAAGAAGGGGTTACGAAATTTGCTGCATGCATGCAGCTGGTTTCGGCCCCACCGAGGGGCCCATTCCTCGATACATGGCCGCCTCCGGCGCCGGGAGGCGCCGGGAAAATCAGCTACGTGAGCTGATTCTCAAACACCCCCTTTGCTATCACCCCCTTTCGCCCGACCCGATAGTTGCGTGTGCCCTCCTGGCGCCTGATTCCCGCGCCGCTTCTCAGAGAAGCCAATTCGTGGTCAATGTGTCCCGTTACCATGCACCC